ATTAGATTGGTAAAAATAAAGTGTGACAAGCTCTATAGTTGATGTGAACCCTCTATCCAAAAGATGATAGTACCTGATGGTCTAGTGAGCTTATAATTGTAGGTATAGCTGTTATAGATAGTCTAACTAGGTGGCAACTGATGGTGATGTGCTTCTAGTGCTGGGTTGCTGTACCCCTTAACTGTGGATCAGAGACTTTAAAGGTCAAGCTTCAAGGGTAACATTAACTTGGTTAACAAGTTTTCCTCTAGCAGGGTCTTAAGCCACCGCACATTAATAGGAAAAAAAAAAAAAAAATTTAAATGTTATGGAATTTTAACAAATACTGATAGTTCAGATAATAATGACTTATTTGATTATGATAAATTATTAGATATGCCGGAAAATAATTCTGGTAATGAAGAATATATTGAAGAAAATGATTATGAAAATGAATGGGAAATTAAAATGGATAAAGGTAAAAATAATGAAATTAATTGTAGCAATGACAATAGTGAAGGGGAAAATAGAAATCAAAATCAAGATTATTTTTTTGATGAGAAATAACATCCTATATTAAAAGAATTAATGGAATGTATTATATTTTAGTAATATTACATAATAATAAATTCGTCAATATATATAAGAAGCTTTACATTAAAGCTAAAAAAATATATATTGTAAATAATGTTGTCAATTTTTTTTATCAACCAATCAAATTTATAGAGATATCTCGGATATTTTATAAATTTTAAAGGTTAAAATCTGAACACCTCTATGTGAAATATCCGGATATTTAATAAATCCAAAAAAAATTTGTATAGGGTACTGTGCATAGGGGGATCTGTAACCAGCAAAATACGATAATCTTATTTACTGCTGATGCATAGAAGGCTGTTACTACACAAACTATTTATAATTGTTGGCGAAAAACTGATATTCTTCCTAAATTAGATGAGGATTTAAACTTTGAAAATGAAATAGATGATATTAATACTTATCTTAATCTTGAACGGGTTGATGAATTATATAATATACAAAAATTAATTAATCATCTTGAATTTGAAGATCTAATAGTTACATGAGAATTTGCTATTATAAATGATAATATTATTCTTGAAACTTTAACTGAAGAAGATATTATACAATCAGTACAGCCTACACAAAATAATAATGAAAAAAATGAAGAAATAGTACCTATTCAACCTATTTCTTCTATGACAGCATTATCAGCTTTAGATAATATTTTAAGTTTTTTGACTAATCCACCTGATGGATTTGCTGTTGAATTAAAAAATCTTATGGAAATTCGTTCTTTACGAAGTCAAGTAATGCTACATAATTTTAATAGTAAAAAGCAAGTTAGTTTAAAACAATTTATGAATTATAATAGTAATAATAATATTTGACTTGATAATATATTATAGTATTGAATTATAAAACTTGTTTTGTATTAATTTGTATATATCGATTTATATATTTTTCTTTTATTATATTGTTAAATAAAGATAATTTGATATAATGATATCTTGATATACTGATATTTTTTAGATAAAACAAAACATCATTATATCCAGCTTTGACTGTAATATTATTTATATATTTTTTCTCGTGCAATAATACCGGCTAACTTCAATTTCTATCTTCGAACTTCCGACCTCCAATCATATAACCTAGCCTCAGATATGCTCAGAGTTGCAAATCGCTAGTCTGAATGTATTGGTCACTTTTTTTCCACAAATTCCAGCATTTCCTAGCCATGAACCATATAATCGCAATAAGTACTAGGGTAAGTATAGAATATATTAATATAGGTGATATCAAGGAGCTCGTGACGATAGGAGCAGTTTCTGGTAAAGATACCGCTTCTGCGCCACCTACAGAAATTATTTGAGACGAAGGATTAAGAGTGAAAAGAGTGAAAAGGATCAAGCTGGGATGAATTATTCATAGGCGGGAGTGGAGTATCTACTTTATTATGCTCTGCTTAATGGAGATTCGTCTGGGTGCATGATACTATCCTGACCACATGAATTCTTTACTATGGCATCACGCAGAGCGTTTGATACTGAAGCTGATACCAATGGTTCATGTATTTTGTATGGATTTGTCCCAATTATCAATTGCCACTCTTCGTTAGTGAAGTAATTCGGGTAAGGACAGGATCGGTTGAGTACGATAATGGACGAGAGCAGTGATGTACATTTTTGATGTCCCAGTCCCAGCTATATGTCCCAACCTGTCCCACACTATGTCCCAAATGTCCTATCTGTCCCATCAGTGTCCTATCAGTATCCCATCAGTGTCCCATCAATGTCCCATGACAACACTGGACGAGAGTGCTCTAAAAGTGCGATATTTAAATGTGAATATAACTGTGATGTTCCAATTTGTAAGTCTCATAACACTCACAAGATTTCATACGTATTGTCTCACGTTAGTCCGGTTGATTGAAGTGTTTTAAGAACCTCTCGTTGGTATTTACGGAATATTTCCGTAACATTTATATTATGAACTATCCACTGATTTTTAAAGACAATATTTGATAATAAGAATAGGGACCCTAAGGGCTAGCTCTTGGGGATGTCGACCTAGGTGGCAATCTTCAGACCAGTATCACAGGACGAGTTCTGGCTAGAACGAATGTGTCTAGTCACGACTTAGAGGGAGTCTAGGATGAGTCGAGGTTTACACCTCAATAGTACTATCTGTATACGTTTCCCTTGTACCGGGTAATGTAACTATAAAAAAAAAAAAAAAAAAAAATAAATAAGACAGGTAACAATAAGAAATCAAAGTTTTAACCTCATACCTCATTTTTTGGCTCCTGTCTCAAATTCCTAATAAATGACTCAAGTATGTTCTCATCGATCTTTATTTGTTTTTTTATGGGATCGGTGTTTTTTTAGTAACCGTTCACTGGGCTCTGTTTTTTCACAAAGACCCCTTTTAGGCAGTGATGGCAGATTATAAAGTCATTTACTATTTTTAAATGACCTTTGGTCATTTTGACTTGAAATTTATAATAAAAAGGATGTCATTTGAAGTCATTTAAGGTCATTTCAAGCATTTCAAGGTCATTTGCCAAAACTGCTTTTAGGTGACACGTTTTCCTTGCCTCTGCAGAATCCCAATAATATTATGTGAAAAGCATAATGAGTAAAGATCCTTCATCATAAAGAAGGTACATAGCCGATTCCTCCTCCAGAATCAGCAGACTTTAATCAAAGAACCCATAGCGAACCCATAGAGATATGCCCGACACGGCACTAATGTGACTGGACGCTCTTTCCCATAACCGTAGAAAACAGGGCGTAGAATTCACTATGCTCAATATGCTCGTTAACGTTTTCACATTCCTGAGAACGTGTAAAAAACACTAATCTTTAATATTGCTGATATTTTCCGTCCCTCCTTCGACTTCGGTTTTAAATTCTCATTCAAAATTTTTAGTTCTATCACGCGTCGGGGTGCTTTTCATGGAAAAATTGACTATAAGTATCCAACTTCCAATGCGTTTGGGGTTTCTTCCAATACTCGGAAAATCGGACTTTGCTTAAGACTTCTTCGTTCATAGTGGAATAAAAGTACAAAGAAAAAAATAATAGATAAGAAGGACCAAAAAATACGCGTGTGGGGAAATCTTAAATAACTACATGATGTCCTTGACACTATATACACGTCTGATTTTAAAACCAGATAGTAGAACTGTAAGAAGTCCGATAAAAAAAATTTTCAGGAGACGGAAAGATATACTTATCACGTGGAATTGATTAGATAAGATAATATCTTATCACGGGAATTTATTTTTTATCAGATAATAATTATGTCTGTTTTGAACATCTATAGAGGAGGCCAGCCGATCAATAAACCATTCTGCCTTATTATTATTACTTTTGCGGAATATACACAAGTTCGTTTGATTGTAAATATCGATGATGCAAATAATGGTAGGTTAGATAGCTTCGTTTGATTTTACCTGTACAAGGCGGATAAAAGGTTTACTAACACCTTTTTAGTGTGCCTGAGAATTGATTTCGGAACGTTAATATGACCACATCACGAAAATTAGATCAACTCACCTACTTAAATTGATGATATACGCAACAGCTAACGTCTTGACTTATGTCAAGGTATATGCTAGAACTTTCAGGAAAAAAGACGACGCTGTCACAAGAACGCAGTAGAATTGGCGTAACAGTCCCAGAAAATCTTTTAAAAGGATGAGAATCATGCCTTACAATACTTCAGTGCTAAACTTTAAGATCGTGACCTCATGTCACAGTCTCGGAATTTCGTGATAAGTGTGAACGGTACTTTATTAATACATTCGAGTGATAAAAAAACAAATACCAGTACAAAGCAAACAGACTAACTCGCTGTACATGATAAAGTTTCTATGCTTGTGATAATAGGACATACTCGTTAAGAACATATTTTTAATTCATTTTTGCATCGCCTATAAGGGACGCCCAGATTAGCCTCAGGATTTCTCCTGTATTCTAAGAATCGGGACCTTTACTGAGATACACAATATATTTATCTGCTAATTAAACGTAGAATTACATGTATTATAAGTCTATTGATTTTAGGATATCAAAACTTTTAGATGCTAGACAACCAAGCTCCTTAATTTTTTGATCCTTTTAGGAATAACGATTTCCGGTTTTTACTTCAAGAATTGAAATTCCATTATCTTGACATATGCATCGTTTTTGCCGATCACGATTAACGATGTCCTCGAGTTTTTTGACATCCTTATACCAGCTAGTGCTATGAAGCCGATGCTGAGCCCCTTGTACCTCAAGCTCTAATCCTTGCATGAAAGAGGGGCGATACTCAATTATCGGCTCCTCACGTAGAATTTCCTTAGCTATCTGGATACATCTTGTCTGAAATTTGCGATTTTTCTTAGCTTCTCTTTCTGCCTGATCCTGCTCTAGTTTTAAAATTCTAGCTTCAAGCTCGGTGAGCCTAGCTTTTTCGTCAGTTTTCTTAGCCTCAAGCTCAATGATAAATACTTCAAACTCGGATGTCATGATAAATAATATTTTCATATATGAAAGAATTATTCAATGTTACATGCAAATTTAAAATCACTTTATCAATACATGCAAGAAATAAATACATAGTTTGGGACTACATTCAGGATACATAATTTTTTTTGATTCTAGCCCTCTTGCTAGCTGGGGAATTATCTACACTAACTTCAGTTCATTCTTGCCTAGATGTTCAAATTTTAAGCCTCTTTTGGAATTTCAGGATATACTTAAACTTGCTCATCTGTTAATTTAAGATAATTTCAATTGTTTCTAAAAGAAATTCATTAATTATTATTAACTTTTCTTGTCCTTTTTTATGAAGAAAATAGTTCATTAAGAGGTGCTCAAATTATAAGATGTTATTATTAACATAAAAAAGACATTCATCATAAATTATAAAAATATGAAACTTTTTCCTTCAGATAAAACTGGATTCTTTTGATCTATATTGTTTCCTTTAAATATTGATATTAATTGTTTAAATTTCTCCATTTTTTAAGAAATATAATTTTATTTTCTAATACATTTAAATACTTATGCTTATTAAAGTAAATGCCTTTTTTTTAAGATTATGAAATAAGTCTAAGTTTTTATAATTACACTAGCTATTTTTTAAAAAATAATATAGTTATCCTCATTTATGAAAAAGTGTATTATTAATAAAGATTCTATTTTTTTTTTTTTTTTTTTAACGATGTGGTACTGTCTTAAGTTTATTATATTTATGTTAGATTATTACAAATAAAAA